GAAGAGTTTAAGTTTAGTGAAGGTAACGACATCGACGCCAAAAGAATAAAGATAATGAGACACAGCAACAGCTTCCTGCTGCTGCTGCAGCATCTGCAGCAGCACTTGTCTGCAGAAAACGGGAGAGGAGACACACGGAGAACTGTCTCCTTTCTCCTCCTCCTGCTGCTGCTGCTGCTGCTGCTGCTCCTGCTGCTGCTGCTGCTGCTGCTGCTGCTGCTGCTGCTGCTCTTCCTCTTGTTCTGCTGCTGCTGCTGCATGCAAGTCAAAGTGGTGGCCCAGCAGCCGCGATAGAAATTCCAGCCCCAGTCGACGGTCTTCTTGCTGCTGCTGCTGCTGCTGCAGCAGCTCCTGCTGCTGCTGCTGCTGCTGCTGCAGCTGAGGATCTTCTTCTCGCTGGCTATCTTGCTCCTGCTGCTGTTGCTGCTGCTGCTGCTGCTGCTGCTGCCGCATTGCTGCTGCTGTGTCTCTAAGGAATACACCACGGGTAAACAGCAGCTCTCCTGTTTCAGCAGCAGCAGAAGCAGCAGCAGCAGCAGCAGCAGCAGCAGTATCTGCTCGCATCAGGTCTTGATCGAGATCAATAAACATCTCAAACTCTTTCTCCTCCTCCTGCTGCTGCTGCTGCTGCTGCTGCTGCTGCTGCTGCTGTCTTCGTGCTGCTAGGCAGCTAAAGTCCCACTTCAGCAGCAAAGTGATCGCCTCAGGTCCGTTCCTTAGCCGCGCCAGTACACTCTAAGACAGCAGCAGCAGCAGCAGCAGCAGCAGCAGCAGAAGCAGCAGCAGCAGCAGCAGCAGAAGCAGCAGCAGCAGCAGCAGCAGGAGCAGCAGAAGCAGCAGCAGCAGAAGAAGCAGCAGCAGAAGAAGCAGCAGCAGCAGCAGAAGAAGAAGCAGCGGGATGAGCGAATAGCAGCAGCAACAGTAGCAGGAGCAACAGCAGCAACTGGAACTGCTGACACAGCAGCAGCAGCAGCAGCAGCAGCAGCAGCAAGAGCAGCAGCAGCAGCAAGTTGATGCGCACCCTGAGTGTAGTATCTTCTGCAGCAGCAGGAGTCGGAAATGTTTCTGTTGCTGTTGCTGCTGCTGCTGCTGCTGCTGCTGCTGCTTCTGCTTCTCCTTCTGCTTCTGCTGCTGCTGCTGCTGCTGCTGCTGCATCGAGTCTCCTTGGGGGGGGGTGAGCAGCCATTGCAGCAGCAAATGCATTAAAAGAAAAATCTGTGAAAGACCCGTCCCTCCTGAGCAGCAGCAGCAGCAGCAGCAGCAGCAGCAGCAGCAGCAGCAGCAGCAGCAGCAGCGGCGGATATGAAGTTGGTGCGCAAGAAGCAAGTCTGTTTGATGCAGCAGCAGCAGCAGCAGCAGCAGCACATGGTTTTGTTATTGTTGTTGCTGCTGCTGCTGCTGCTCTTTCAATACAGACACAAGCGGAGAAAGTAGCAGCAGCAGCAACAGCAGCAGCAGCAACAGCAGTAACAGCAACAGCAGCACCAGCAGCAGCAACAGCAGCAGGAGCAACGGCACAAGCAGCAACAGCAGCAGGCAGCAGGGTCTCCGCTGCAGACAGCAGCAGAAGCAGCATGAGTAGCAGAAGCCGCCGCAACAGCAGCTGCTGCTGCAGCAGCAGAAGCAGGGCCAGCAGCAGCAGCAGCAGCAGCAGCAGCAACAGCAGCAGCAGCAAGAGGATTGCATTGCTTATACTGCATTGACTCTTTATGATGTTGTGATTAAATTTGTTGCTATCCTTATCTATCAGCAGCAGCAGCAGCAGCAGCAAGAGCAGCAGCGACAGCAACAGCAGCAGCAACAGCAGCAGCAGCAGCAGCAGCAGCAGTGTTAGGTGCTGCTTGGGGTGTGCTGACGCCGTCGGGAATTTTAATGTGCTTGAATATACAGCAGCAGCAGCAGCAGCAGCAGCAGCAGCAGTAGCAGCAGCAGCAGCAGCAGAACTGAAACAGCAGCAGAACCAGAACTAAAGCAGCAGCAGCAGCAGCAGCAGCAGCATACATGGTATGCATAGCAGCAAAAGGAGAATTAAACTGATTA